ATCATAATTTAATATTAAAAAAATGTTAAAAGGGTTTCTGCATTGTAATAAAAACGTTAAATTACTTTTGTTTGTAAATTACTTTTGTTTGTGTAACATTTACTTAACTATTAAACGCCTTTCGTCATCTCCTTGACGTGTGTTTTTAAAAACAGTTGAAAATTGCTGTTATTATAGTTCATGCTATATATTACACTGAAAAGTGAGATAACTGCATTTTTTTAAGTAATGGTCCTTTTAAATATTTGTGTTACCAGACATTTCCAACCGAAACTTGCAATCTCGAAACAAAGGTAAAAGAAATAAGAATAAAGTACGGTACGGTATATAAACATGTACTAAATCACATTAGCAGTTAAATTATTTAACTTAGGAACTTCGGATCTTTAGATATAATTTGTATCCTCCTTTATTTCATACCATTTGTTTAGAAAGAAATTATATATCATCGTTTATGGCCTTGAAGTCGCACTTGAAGAATTTTGATCGCGCCTAAATTATGACTCTCTAATACATTAAAATTTACAGTCCTGAATTCAAAGCAGGTACTGCCATTAAATGGATTTAATTTAGCATGGTAATGATTAAAAGTCACCCATTTATCTCTTTTCTACTTTCTAACTGCACCCTCCCCGTGGAACAAAGGGAGGAAATCGAATTATTTTGCCTCTTAACCCTTTCGCTGCCAGAGGGTTATTGTTTGATTGATCACCTATTTGCCAGAGAGTTTTCTAAGAAATTACTATAATTATTAATTAATATAATTATTATTATTTGTTATTATTATTATTATAATAATTATATATGTTTCCAAACATGTAACTAAAGTATAATAATAATTATTATCGATGGTATAATTTTTTATATTTATTATTATTATTATTATTATTATTATTATTATTATTATTAATTTATTATTATTATTATTATTATTATTATTATAGAAACGGCAAAAGCCGTCCTTATGGCAAATACGCCGAAAATAACAGGGACGGCATAAGCCGTCCCTATGGCAGTGAAATGGTTAATTTGCACCGTTTGTCTAATACACAATAAAGTGCCGTCTCGTAGATTCATTTTCTCTTGTCTTAAGATTTTATATTTGTCAATTCTCCATTCTTTTCTATTGCGTTAGATCCATTTACATTTTTGCAGGTGGGTATTACACAGTGAAAGCTTCACCTTACCTCAGGATCATTGTTTTAAACACAATTCTTTATTACAAACGAAACAAACAGGTGACCTCAGATGGTGATCCGGCAGGTCAATTCCGTTGGCTCGTTGAGGCATTACAGTATGCACGAAAACAAAAAGAAAAGGTAAGATACCTAATATAAATTCAATGTAACAAAACTATTTTAGAAAGAAAGGAAAAGTATGATGGAACGTTCGTTAAATCAGTTTATAATTAAAATACACAAAAACATGTAAAAAAGTTACTATCAATTAGAATTTAGCAGTAATATGTAATATTAAAGGAAACGATATTTTAACTGAATTTACATCAGATGATTTTCATTCAAATCAAGATTTCATAATATGATTAGATTCTGCAAAATATATCCATTGCAGGGATGAGATTCTTTTTGTCATTCAACGAACTTTTTTCAAGTTTATTATTATATTACTTTGTATATAAAACAACATAATTTGACAGAACAGACAATTATACTATCAAATAGAATTTCTTATTAATTACTAAAAGTTACCAAAATCAATTAAGATTTAGATAAAATTTGAATAAAAAATCCTTAAAATGTCTCAATTATCCATATTTTTTAATTTATCAATTGCGTTGAATGTGAAGTAAAGGCAGCGAAATGTAAACAAAGTAGTACATGTATTTTGACTTTCATACAAAACATTTATTCACTATGATTATACCCTTTGCTAACAGAGCAAAAGAGTTAAAGTTGGTTCATCTGTGTGGCAAATGAAAATGTTTTGGAAACTGTAACAAATACAAAAAATACAAAATGTTTGAGAAATGAAAATGATAGCATTTCTGAAGCATAATGGGCCTTCAAGTTGTCTGAATTTGTATAATTAAAACATGAAACTGTCCACTGTCTGATTTAGGGATTTCAATATTATTATAGAACAGTAGTGGTAATGCGAAAAAAAGTGCAGACCGGTTTTGTTTTACACTGGTGACAGACAACCGATCATTGCTGCTTATTGGCATTCTAAGAATGAATATTTTAATTAATTATTCTAATAATTATTCGTGAGAAATTGTACAAAAGTGTCTAATCTGTAATTATTCCCTCACTAACAGTGAAACGTTGCAGAATAAAGAGATTACAGTGACGAAATTCAGGGAAGACAAAATTCTTCAGTTACCTATTGTTTTTACCAGAACTGTTTTCGATGGTAATAAAATGAGCCGCGTCATGACAAAACCAACATAATGGGTTAGTGACTAGCATGGATCCAGACCAGCCTGCGCATCCGCGCAGTCTGATCATGATCCATGCTGTTCGCTTACAAACTCTATTACAAATAGAGAAACTGATAGCGAACAGCATGGATCCTGATCAGACTGCGCGGATGAACAGGCTGGTCTGGATCCATGCTGGTCGCAAACGCATTACGTTGGTTTTGTCATGACGCGGCTCAAATATGATTGCTACTTTCAGGTTATTGCAGTTAACACATTATATTGTCATAAATGTTTTATGGTAAAATTTAACACATTACATATGTCTTTCACTTTCAGGTTATAATCACGGCTCATATACCGCTGGGAGTTCAACCAAACGGTGAAACAGAATTATACAAACATCAGAATGATAGACTCATCGCAATATCAAATCAATATTCTGACGTCATTGTCGCCATGCATTTTGGACATGAACATACAGATGCCTTTAAAGTGCTAACAGATGAAAAAGGTAATGCAAAGTGTACTTCTTGAAGATCTTATAACGAAAAAAAAATGTTATGCACACTGTTTTAATAATACCGAATTTAGCATTTCATGTAAATAAAGTCTAAGAAAGTTTTTTTTTCAATAAAAATGAATACCTTAATTTAACGTTTAATTATAATGTACGTAAACATATGCTGTACATATTTAACATATTCCTGGATGTTATGAAATTGTTTTAGAAGAATATTGATATTATGGACTAGAAGGGAAATAAATGACGTTTTAGAAAATATGGACTGGAAAAGAATGAATACATGTACACATATAAAAAAAAAACTTAACTTAACTGTATGTCTCATCCTTAATTACAACATAAATGATCTTTAATTTCCAGGCCATCGGCCTTCTTAGAAAGACTAACAATCAAAGGCAAAAATGTCAATCACTCTTCAAGAACAAAGATAAAGTTTGGGCGATTCGAACATCTTTATACATTGTATATATAATAAATATCATTGCGTTTATAAATACTGTTGCCTTTTCTCTGTTCGAAGACCAGTATAATGTGACTGGTTAGATAGGGTTCACATAAACACGGAAATTATTATATCATTACATTATAAAAAACAAATTTTCTTGCATTTTCAGGGGTACCCACTGTACCTATATTTTTAGCGCCGTCGGTGACTCCACTCGGATATTCTCTTTCACATAATCCGGGTATACGTCTTATCAAATATAATCGAATAACCGGATTACATCTAGAAATAATTCAATATTACCTTGACGTAGAAGCGGCGAATATTGCGGGCACTGCATCATGGGAACTTGAATATACAACTTCCGGTGCGTACGGTATAAAGAATCTATCTCCCGCATCACTGTATTCATTAGTAAACCGAATGAAAGCAGCCGACAGCCAAGAATTCAAGAGCTTTTGGAAACATTATGTTGTTACCCCGCCCAGGAGCTTATATAAGGAATGTGAATCAAAATGTCATGCAAGGGTGTTTTGTAGATTTACAAAGCTTACCGAAAGCGATTTTGCAAAATGCTTACAGGAATTTGATGTCGATAATATTCAAAAGTTTTGGAGATGGTTTTTCAGAAGATAATTTTCAAGGACTATATAATTAAAAATCAAATGCAATGTTTTCCTTCTTCATGATTTGTCATATTTAGCATACGGTTTTATCTTTTTGTAAGAAATGTTTTATATCAATTTTACCATTTTATTTGGACATAAAATATTTTATTTCCAAGATAATCTACGGTGCTGGGACATAATTACTTATATGAATTGGTTATTTGTATCTATTTATGCGATCAAACACATAAAGCTGTTTTGAATTGGTTCAATGGTTTGAAATTACACAGCATTTTTAAAACGTCAATTCACAACTAGGAGAGGGAGACAGTGGGGTTTATATCCGGGCTTTAATCACGAAGATATAACCATCCTCCTGATGTGAGGTTCATAACTTTCTCATAAAAAAGTCAGCGTCTCTTGCAGAATTGGAGCGGGAAAATATGTTCTATGGCAGCAAGTAAAACAGGCACGTCTTTTACAATAAGAAATTGTTTTATGGCCAGTTGTAATGTGTTGATACAATTTGAATAGAAAAATGAATGACGTTTTGATATTATGTAGTCGAATGGAAATTAAAGACGTTTAGAAATTATGGAATGAAAAAAATGAAGGCGATTGGACAATATGAACTGGAAAAGACTGAAGAATGAAGTTTAGATGGCATGGACCGGAAAAAATGAATGGCGGTTTGAACAATATTGATTGAAAAACAATGATTGACGATGGACAATATGGACTGGAAATTGGTTAACGGGGTTTAGACTATATGGACTGGAAATTAATTAACAGGATTTGGACATAATGGAATGAAAAAGAATGAATTACATTGGACAATTTCGACTGCAAATGAATGAATGAATGATGTGGACAAATAAGACTGGGGGAAACTGAACGGCGTTTGGACAGTATGGACTTGAAAAGAATGAACGCCATTTTAACTTTTCGGACAAGGAACCAGTGAAAGGGGTCTAAAAGGTTTCTGGTATAAGACTCCATTATTGGTCATTACTGGATGGAGGAAATAAGATAAACAATCAATAGTTCTTCATTCTGTTTATTTTAAAATTCAGAGAAAAGTTTTGTGGATATGACAGTATTGTGATTATGATATGTATATAAATGCGTATAAGATACCATAACGAAATAGGAAGTGTCTAAACTGCATATAGAACGTCATTACATATTAGAATAAAACAGTCAAAGAAACTAAAATGAAATCAATCAATGCGATCTTAATTATATGGTGCTCACAAATCAAATGAATAAGATACTGACACTAATTTTGATCCGAAAATTTTGTAAATAGTCTAAATGTTTTCATTAGATATTCTAAAAAAGCATTGTCCTTCAAAAACCTTTTGCTTAAATAAGCAATCGTCGATACTTGCACTGTCCATCTATTCAGCTGAAATTACTTTGCTTATTCGTGATTTATAGTAGCCTTCGAAGAAGAGAGCGAATCCATTACACGTGTCTTTCTTTTAGCCAATGTTCTTTTGCTGAAATAATGTTTTGTTGTTTTCACTATCTTAAGGTTACAATAGATAAACACATACAGTATAAGACAAAATGAAAACAAAATGGATAAAATGGATTAATTTCATAAACAATCATTTCTGCATAAGTATGTTTGTTTCATAGAGGACATAAGTAGGCCTAAGTAATAGTATCTGTGCTACAAATCAACATAAAATTTCGTTATCAAATATTAAATACCTTTTGTAAATACATCCCAGTATCACCCCGACTATTACAACAAAGGAAGGACAAATGACTGCTGCAATGACCCATAGTTTCTTTGACTGAGGTGGTGGTGGAACTGCAATTGGGCATTCTAGAAATAGAACATTCTTTAGCTTAAATGTTTGTAAACTTTATGGAAAATATTCATATAGTATCCAATAAATGATTAACGGGTTTATACAAACTATTTGGTAAAATAAATATTGAAATATTTTTTTTATTTAAATGATATCTGCTATAATTATATAAAATATATACATATAAAGCCAACAAAAATTGTTAAAAATTCTTCTATGTCAAAAATGAAGGAAAACTAGACTAGCCGATGTTAAGACAAGCATCCCTATTAACCTAATCTGATGATAATGAGATTCTACCTTTACCAGGAACCCATGAGAACTGACCGTCAATACCACCGGTGCAAACATAACAGTCGTATTTGTCTCCAAATCGATAACATTGTCCGTGTTTGGTGCAATATCCTGGCTAGAAATATACAACATCTAATACTTCAACGTATATATATCTAATAGGAGGAAAGATAAGTTTTTACCATTAAAGGTCTAATTCTTTATTAAGAGAGGGTTCAAAGCAATCAAAGACATTATATGTTTACAAAATAAATGATATTTTTTCACCCGATTAATATGTATTTCGCATATTTTTTGTTCGTTTTGTTGATAAAATAACATTATATTTTAAGAAATACACAGTCTTAATACTATTTTAGTTTCTGTTCAGAACCATTCTTCTAATGAATCGAGCAATGTGTGAGGAAGTACAAAACGTCTTATGAAAAAGACACATACATGTATATGATATGGAGATTGTATTGTTTTTAATAAAAATAGACAGTAAACAAGATAAAACCTCACCCGTTGAACGCAAACTATCTTGTCGTTATCTTTTGTGCAATTAACACACTCAGAATCGTAAATTACAATGACATCTTCTTCACTAAACGCCTTGCCATCATTACTTACTGAAACAGTGTAACCTTTAGCCATGTAATCGTTAGTTTTTGTATCATCAGCGCGCTTTTCTCGTCTTTTTTCTAAGGGGCATGATACTTCCATAAATGTTTGTAAAGTTCCTTTGTTTTTATAAGAAGTATTTTCTGTCTCCATAACACTGTCAGTATTGATCTAAAGTATGTAACAAAATCCAAATACATTTATATTTCTTTGCTACTATACTAAAAAGTAAAACCAATATTGTCGAATATTTTACACGATAAGAAAATGATAATTTTAGTGTTCATTAAAAAAGTGTTTAGGTTATTAGGCAATCCATACGTTCAATGATATGCTTTTTTGTAATATAGCTAAACACAATAACTTATAATTTAATATATCAAAGACAAAACGTAAAAAACTTAACCTGAAATGGTTTAATATGACACGATAATGTTTCCGATTGTACCAAATTTATTCCGTAAACAGATGTTGTCAAACACTCCCTGTACTGTAAGTCACATTCACCATCGTCAGGAATGCCTGTCATTATTGGTGGTTTTGAACTATCAACGGAACAGTCCGCTCCAGAAAATCCATCATTACAAACGCACAGACCTAGCAATGTAAGTAACAATAGTGATGTCAGATAGACATTCTACATTCAAGTAAAAGACAGCATTTAATGAAATGAAAATAAATCATTTTCATTATCAATATAAGCAATCTTTCAATATTTACCAATGATGACAGACTAGGATTAAATTGTTAAAATATGATATTAGTCTATTTTCATTGCCATTTTCCACGCCTTTGCTGTAATAACAAAGCCGTAGCACACAATTTTTTATTATCTATTACGTTGTTATAATCTGTTGACATATATAATGTTTCAGAGTAAATGAAATGCAGAATTTGTCCTCGAAGTCCAATCACTTACCTGGATATAGCTGCAAAATAAAATCACTTAGATATGAAAAAAACAAATCAACCAAACAAGTCTACGTCAGATCAGTTTATCTTTATATTGTCAAAATGTTATATTGGTTTCAAGTTTGAAACTTTACCTTTTTCACAAATCCCATTTTGAGTGCAATCATTGAGACAGGTTACATCTTCAAGATTGCTAAGGAAATCTGATGTAAATACTGGACTAAGGGTTGTTTGCAAAGTACTCGAGGGCATCAATGTAGTCATGTTAGAATTGATTGGGTCTGGCTTGAAACTTTTGAGATCTTCTGCTGTGAGTGGTTGATTTACTTTAACCTCTTGTACACATTCTCCTTTCATTGCGTCTAGATGAGATGCTGTCCATTCCATTGAATTTGTCGACTAAATAGAATGAAACAAATACCGATTATATAACTCGCTCTATTTTACGTGTATATTAGTTTTAAGCATACTTCATAACCACTTATTTTATGAATTTTTTGTCTCTGTAAATGTGCCTATATTCATCATGTTTTGTACACCATGCGTTATGATTGACATATGAGCCGCGTCACGACAAAACCAACATAATGGGTTTGCGACCAGCATGGATCCAGACCAGCCTGCGCATCTGCGCAGTCTGATCAGGATACATGCTGTTCGCTATCAGTTTCTCTAGTTGTTGTAGAGTTTGTAAGCGAACAGCATGGATCCTGATCAGGATGCGCAGGCTGGTCTGGATCCATGCTGGTCGCAAACCCATTATGTTGATTTTGTCGTGTCGCGGCTCATATATGTTTAATTTATTAAAATGCATTTTGGATAAAAACAACGACAACAAAAGAAGAGCAACATGAAGGCTTTCCGCTAGTTTTTTTAATGGCTAAAATAATTGTTGTTATAGCTTTAGCTGAGAGATTTTGATCCCTGCTGTTTCTTTAACACCCGAGGTTAGCAAAAACTATCGTTCCTGTTTCGGCGCCATTACAATGTAACAAATAAACAAAGAAGAGTAAATTCATTATCCAAAGAGCCTTTACTGAAACGATTATGAAATATGACAATAATAATATAATTACGAAACATGTTTCGACTTGTAAAAAGATGTTAAAAAGTACCAATGCATCGAGAGTGCAGTCTTCGACATATTTGTTAACGTCGACAGTGGGAACTGATGAACACATTTGAAATGCCGTTGTATTTATAGTCTTTAAACAGGCTTGCCGTGCAGATGCCTCTGTATAATTGATATTTGTAACATCCCTTTTATGTCTCTATACATAAAAAGAAATTGTATACTAAATGCTTGTTTATTTAAGCTTACATATAATATTATGTTGTTACCATAACAACATAATTTTACTGACACAATAAACAATATATTACATATTGTCACCTACTATATACACGATGATGACTGGCATTGACACATTTTAATCAACTGCATCATATATATGTGAGCAATTATTATTTTTGTTCATTCAATTACAATAAAGGTAATTTTTACTGATATTGATTGATATTTTTGTAATTATTTTTGTAATTATGAACATACTGTGTTATTCATTTTTGATATTCTTAATGATATTTTTCTAAAATAAATCTGACGATAGTGATAGTTTTAAAAATGTCTAACACCATTTACTAGTATGCAAAATACCTGAGATAAACGGAATGTATTCAAAAGTTTTGAGACGAATTTTGTACTTGTCGTGAAGTGTTTATCAACATCTCTTTGTACGTAATGCCCGTGAACATTTCTTTTTTTCCTCGCAAATGAACACCTTTCATTATACTCTTCTTCAAATATTCTATCCTTGCATTTTCTTGCCTTCGATTTATGTGCAGAACATTGAACAAAGTTTTGTGGTCCACTAGCGCCTCCCACCGGTGCCCATTCAACAGTACAATTGCATAAAAATCTTTCAGATGACCATTTTTTTAGATACTTGTCATTCCTTTGATCAAACAGACTTTCAATCGGCCCTACACTGTAATTGATATAAAACTTCTTCATACAGTAATACTTACTTTTGTAGCAGGTGGCGAAGATAAAGATGGAGAAGAAAGGAGAACAAGAAAATTGAAGGATGCCTTTTTCGATTATATTATATATACGAGTATATTGAAGATAAAAGTGCAATAATATAAACTTTACTTTATACAAATATAGTGTAGTGTATATTTACTATTATATAATATAGAAGCAAATTGCAATTTCATGAGCAGTTGATATCCTGATCCAAAATATTCCTAATATACTTGTATTTTATCATTACTGGTATCAATCAGATTTTAATATTAATGCGGTCTTCGAAACTGATGTTTTTATAGCTTTTTTAAATCAAGTATTAATCAATAACAAACATCATTCTAAGAATATGCACGATATTTTATACATGTGTATGTTTCCAATGTTTTTACTAGCATTCAATTCATCAACTGACATTATTAATGCTCTGTCATATTCGCAAAACCTTTACAAACAATATTGTAATGTATTTATACATGTATCTTTAGCATTGGTGTACTTGTTGGTTGAAGATATGCTACTCTTATGTTTTAATGTCTTTATTAAAGTAAAATGTCTTATGGAACTGAGTAAAGACGAGAACAAGCTACATTTTGTAGGTGCTTTACACAATTATTATGTATATTTTATGATTTCATTTACCTCCAGCTTAGATTAATATCATTTTTTGTTGAACCAGGCCTTTTTTGTCTATCGTCATTTGCATTTCCATTAAAGAGACCACAAAGTCCATCCGTTTTGTTCCAATCCGCCAAGCTAGGTGTAACTTGTACGTTTAGAAAGGGTTGGAAATAGTGTCCACTAAGTGTTATAAGAACTTCCGTTCCTGTCGGAAGAAATATCTGCAAAAATGTAAAAATATCAGTGCTAGAAAATATTGTTAAAACACTGGTGATGTATTTGCCAACAAAGTCTGACTGAGACAATTATAAATTAAATCTTGCGTTTATCAAATTTACAAGGTAGATCTATTTATTTAATGAAATGACATCTCTTTCGATTCTATAAAAAATCAAAAGAACAAAGCAACAATATCAACAACAACCAAAAAAAAAACAACAAAACTTTGTACTGATAAAATTAGAACGATTTGGAAAGACGACAATACAGTGTTTGTGCGTGTGATAGCGTGAAATTAAAACAAATAAAAATGACATTATTTTAAAATATATATAAATAAGCATACGAATGCATGTAATTTGGATACATTAAATTTCTGTTCGTTGAAAGTAGCTTGTAAATATTGCTTTTAATTAAAAAATTCTAAATTAAAATCCATCATAGAAAACTGATTTTCCAGTTACATACATGCATTTCAAAATATAAACATCCCCCATCACCACCCCGCCCACCCCGAAAAAGCCATGATGATCCTTGTAGACGATCAACTGTTTATGAAGATGATAATGACATAAAGCATGTTGAATTTATATTGATCACTATGAATGAAACTCAGGCATTTTGTCACAATCTAGGAGAACTGACATCAAATTCTAATACTAGTAATGCATTACTAAAATGAAAAACTGTATATGTAAATTGCAGCGGTTGCAAGGAAAATCAATTATAGTTATGGGAAGTCAATGGTTGCCATAGAAGTAAATTACTGTTTGTAATTAAAAATCAATGATTGCTACATAACTTTTCAACATGTTTGCAAAGGTTCTGTTTAGATAAAAGTAATTCAACGATCTTTTTTCAGACACGAAGACATTTCACCATTAACCACTTACACAAATGTCAATGTCAAACGTTTTCATGTTCTATTCAGTGCTTTGTCGCACTTGGCAAGACTTATTTCAGACTCTTTTGTTTGTTTGTTTGGTTTTACGGTGCACCAACAATATATAGGGCATACGGCGCTCAAACAGGAAAGATGAATTTGGCTAACAAAGGGTGTTACAAGCTTCAAAGCAAAACCAGGGGTCAAAACCACCCATACCATCTGATTAAGGTTTATTGATGCAAATACTCGAAATTTCAACCCATTCATTTGCCTCTTACGACCAAGCAGGGATAAGCAGTGTCTGCAATTGTGATGCATCAACCTTAAAAACAACCCATCAGTCATAAGGGACGTGCTCTTAATTGAAATAAAGAGGCTCGAGCTCAAGACCTGGCTCTGAGTGTCTAATTATGGCTTTTTTGTAGATGAAAGCAGTCGGCTCGAATGTTTTGCCAGTGCTTCAAAGATAGAGCATTTAATGTTCATAAAAATTGATACTTGTTGGACATGAGTAACGAGAATAGAGTTTTGTTTTGGAAAAGGAAAATTATGTTATTTTAGTTATTAAGAAAGAAAAATTAGTAAACCCCATTAACTCTGAATTACACTGATTACTATCATAATGTGTTGTAATTTTAATTTTATTTAAAAATGAAAAGAAAAAGAAAATATTTACCACAAATTTTTGTTTTGCTTTGTCTGTCTTTATACTATTAGACAACACTTGATCTTTACATCGAAATTCCTGACGCCACTTTCCACTATTGGCACCACAACTACTCATGATAAACACGTCTCTACCTGCACTTACAGCTACCCCACAATTGCACCAGATGTCACTGTTGTGTTTATAACAAGGACTCGTCTGCACCTGAACCTATTTAGCATTGAAATAGAAAAGCACAAAACGCGTAAGAAATTGATAAATAATAAGATGCTATTGAATTATTTTGTTTATAAAATTGGTAAAAGGCAACAAGAAAACTGAACTTGCTTAATGTTACAACAGAAAAAAGAACAGATAGAAAAATCCATACTACTTTACAAAGTGACATTGTAACCTCGGCATTCTTCATATTTCGGAGGCACAGAAGAAATTGTTTATAAAAGAGATCGTTTTGAGTATAACTTTCTAACAAGAACGATTTTAAGAGATGTTTTCCATATTACATTTTGGTCTGGTTGTGCGCCTTTTGCATCACACTGGTATTTTATAATTTCTACAGTTTCAAAAAGAAAGCCAACATCGCAAATAATGTTATGAGGATATGTAAATATATCTCTCTCAAATTTTTCTCTTGATATAGGTTAAACATATTTAGAAATTTCAGTCTATTTATTGCTGCGTATTTTTAAAAAAATGATTGCGTTGTCTGTGTACGTGCGTATGTGCGCGCACGCGTGTTTGTGTTTCATGAAAGTTAGAAATGACCCATTTTCAAACATTAAATAATATTGCGAGTAAACTGTTAACTGACAGGAACTCAACCTGGGTTTTACGTAATGACACCATTAGTCATAATTTTGCTGTACATTTATCTCCGGATTTGGTAACATCACATATTAAACCTGCTTAAAAGATTGCGAATGAATTCATTACAGAGCGACAATAATTACAATAGACCGTATCCTCAGTATACAGGCAGACTAATTCAGAAAGATGTAAAATCGCAAAAGTAAATAGGATTAATTCTACGCCGTAAACTGACATTTGTTTACGTTGCTATATAGTTTATTATTGATTATTGAATACTGGAGTAGGTATAGTCAGTGATGTGAGTTTCACAAAATGTCCATCCGCTGAGGAATACATCTTAAAAGGACAACTTTTTTAAGCAAAAAAGAAACAAGTGGTGACCCTGTTTAATTAAGTGTCACGTGCATGCATAATTTTGTCTCTCTTGTTTACGTTATTTCCATTTTTGTCGCTTCCGCACTTTTGTGGCTTTTGTTAAACTTTTGTTGAATTGAACATAGAGATGTGTAAATGTCTCCATTCATCTCGGTAACGTGACTTGCAGTAAAGTGCTACGTAAAGATTACAGTGTTTGGGTCGAATCCAACAATATAGAATCTGTTGAAGCCAAAAGGTACCTACCTTTGCGATTACGTTTTATTTTTATGGCTATTTATTACTATGCCTGTTGAAAGAATTATGTCGAAGGTTGAAATTAGTTTTCTCTGGCAGTTGTGGGTTTTAGTATTATTTAAGCAGAAACGCTCACGTGCGTTATTTCATTCCCATATTTACATTTTTTATCATATATGTTTAACCTCGGTAATGTATTGTTGAAAATCTCCAATTTCCGCTTTCGAGATCACCCATGTTAGGATAGCTGCGGCTTTCCAAAGTTTTATTTATGTAATACATTGTTTCGATATCACCCGTGAAATATCGTGAACATTGATCACTCACTTTGTGTTGTATTTGTCCAGTAGTTGTGTCTGAATAGTTTATTTCGATTAATAGTATCAATAGATTTAATAGTATCAAGTCATGTATTAATGTATAATAAATTTCAGAGCTATACAGATCCTTTAGTCCGGTGCCCGGGACAACTCTCTAAACAACTTCGGACAACTGACAATATGCAGAAAATTAGCCCCGAACAAGTCAAATTTTGATAGATGCTTATCTTATAATACAATCCTGCACAGCATGGTGTGTCGGTAATTTACTATTGATACAGTCAATCGAAATATCTAATTAGCAACTATTATGAAAACTTTCAAACATAAATAGCCAAAATAGTAATATTTCAGAGGAAAACAGACACATCTTCGTGTGTCAAATATTTTCACGATGCTGTTTTTTATATAAAAATCGAAAGGCAAATTTAATCTGTAAAAAAGGTCTGTAGCTAGTAGAAATAATTATAGTTTTTGTTGTTAATGAATCAAAAGCACTGATGATGACATTTGAAAAATGCTGGCATTTGTATGATCTAATTCACTTGTCAATATGATCTGTCTATTTTTTTGTTATCCATGCCCTTTGTGAAATGTGGAAAACGAGAGAAATATTCAAGTTCAAGGATAAAAATTCGAGGAAAATAGAAACTGAAACAAACATACACAGGCTATGGAACTTGAATGTTATAATAGTGCTGAAAGGTATCTTGTAAAATTGCTGAAGAATTTAAATTATTTCAGTTGAAACATTTTTTTATACCAAATGACACACAAAATATTACTTAAAAATGTTAATTGCTCTTCTTTGGATATACATACTGCACATACTGAACATTCGAGACTTTTGTGGTCAATTTTGGTATGTTGGGATATTGTATTGTTTTTTATGTATTTTAATTTAATATGTTTTTTATTTATAAGATGTACGCTTCAGACAATTTCGGACTTTAAATCTTCGAAACTACCCAGCTGAGTTTTGCAATCCTATTTACTAGAAATATTTGATCTTGTGACAGATTTACCATTATTAACAAAGTCGGTTTTTTATTGATAAATTGAACTGATTTTATAATTAATTCCAACTAATTTCTGTTTTAAACCAATAAAATCATCTTACCTGTACTTTTTGATTGGAATTACGGTACAGTATGAATATTCCGTTATTCTGGTTTTCAAATTTCCTGAAAGAGTATATAAAAGAATTTCTATAATAAAACTGATTTACTAAGAAATAAAATCAACATTAGTGTTAAGTGAACCATTATATTTTTCAACATTATTGACATTTTACAACACATTCTATTGGACAGTATGTTAATACTATAGATGTAAACGATAAGAAAAGGATATTAAAATAGTATATCAAGTATATTACCCTATATTTCCAACACGATCAAACGAAACCATATGAGGGTCATTATTTGAATGACATTTTCCCTTCACACGGGTCATATCCACCAATACGTCTACCTTTAACATCAAAATGATAATCTAGGTTTTATAATACAATGTACAAAATATCTCCATGGATTTTCAATAATTTTTAATTTACACCAAACAAAATATGTATTACGTATTATAAAAATAGTTCAATATCAATACACTTAGTTAAAGTGATATTATGATCTTCTAAAAGTATATAGTGCGTGAACAGGTGAAAGTCCAAGTAAGTTAACATTTTTGCAAAAAAAAAATTTCAATTCTAAATGCTCTTTACAAGAACAATTAAAAACCCACGTGGCCCAAGGAAATTTTCAATAAATATTCATTGGAAGTTACCTGAAATGTTCAATTTATAAAAAAAGAGTGGGACAGTCTTTTAAAATTTTAGGCAGAAACATACATGTATTTCATCCTAAACAATTTCCGATATTAACTATTGGTCAAGCACCATTATAACCATAATAACAGCCTATCTTTGTCAATTCAGGTCAACTTGGCAATGAGAAATGAGCATAATGCTACATTAAAGGTAAGGGCTTATCTTTAACTTGACTATTGTTTTAAACGATTATGAAAAAAGTAAGTTGTATAATAAAACGCGTCAGTTACTGTTGATAGAATTCATTTATTCTAAATGTTATGTACATATGAAGTTTTACATGAAACATATAATTTAAACAAAACCATACTTTGACCATATCAAGCACATAATTCTGGAAAAATGGATGTGCTTTGTAGTCCTTTGTTGTTGCTAAAATTACTCTGAAATTCCAGTCTTTTTTTTCACGATTTTGGCCCAGATCTGCTTCAACTTGAATTGTCTTAGACTTCCCAATTTCGTCGTTTTTAATTTTTATTCCACAACGATTATCTATTCTGTCTATTTGGGAAGCTTGGGAAAGTCCACTTGGCCGGCAATTACTGTTTTGATTTTCTGGTACAAACATTGTTACATCCAACGAACACCCATTCCTTTCCCATTTTTGGCAACCAAACGGAATAGTCAAGCGTATTTCAAATTGACCTATTTCTGTATCTTTCAACCTGAGTGTTGATTTATTCACAATCTAGATAAATTAAACTTTAATAGACTGATTGTGTTCTATTATTTTTCTTAAACTATAATTTATGTCCTCAGTTTAAAAGTAAAAATAATGCACTTACAAATATTGTAAACGATCACTGTATACATAATATTGATAACATTATTAAGAAGATATCTAATTACTAAGGAAATTTGTTTCCCTCTTTCTTATTCGAAAATATTTATTTAAAGATATATAATAATATTTTCAGGTAAGAAAGTGTTTGAAATATAAGATATCTATCTAGGTAGTAATATCAGGCACAAAAGATCAGAATTGTATAAGGTGAAACCATTAATCGTATTTCTTTACTGATAAATGTTTTATTGTGTTGGTTTGTTTTCTGTAACTGATAAAAAACAATATTGAACTATTACAATAAATTAAACATTTTTCAATAATGTTACCTCAATACCACAAAACTTTGGAGCACTTGGTCTTCCTTTGCTAGGTAACCCTAAAACGTTTTTCATTGCTCTAACAAGGCAAGCGATCTGAAGTGAATTCAATAATGATTTAATACAGACATGTTACATCACACATGGTTGACGAGGAAAATAACTACATTTTCAGTCCTTTTCCACAACATTTATAGTTTGATTAAATTCTCTTCTTCAATTAAAATTAAATCCAGAGAAGGTGGTTTGCGGCAACATTCAATCACTGCTGAGAGCTTCGTTGAAAGTTATGTATCGTTGAAAGTCCGGGATAGTATATATCTTTATTGACGGTGCGTAATCATTCCGGGCTGATTTGGAATATTTCCCCGTTCCTGAACTGATTCGGATTTTTTTTTCACCGGATTGATTCAGATAAATTGGATTTTGAGCTTGACAAGGTAAGAAAATATATAAAAAAACATATTTACAACTGTTCGTCTTTGAATATTCTAATTGCACGGAACATTGCAATGTTTAAGGAATTCATATACAATTTTATAAGGTTTGTTAACGGTCTTTTATCAGTTTGAATCGAAAAACAAATTTCACATGTCAGTGAAGTAGTCGTTAACACTAGGATAAAATTGCCAAAAAAGTCATTATCATTCTTATTTTTTCAGGTATTTCATGATTATATTATAGAAAAAATAATTCCGCAATAATTTAGTGGTTTTTAGTAAAATGATTTGTCCGGTAATGAATTTGTAGGACGTAAGCCTACAATCAGCGCTTTGTCTTGTTTTCCTTAATACGAATCAATCCGGTGCCCTAAAAAAATTATGAGGTTGTCATAAAAGTACGTCCTACAAATTCATTACTGGACAAAACATTTTACCTGAAATCTCTGAAAAATCAAAGATAAGAATGACTTTTTGGCAATTTTATGCTAATGTGTACTACTACTTCACTGACATGTGAAAATTGTTTTTCGATTCCAACTGATAAAAGACCGTTAACAACCTTATAAAGTTGTATATGAATTCTTTAAACATTGCAATGTTCCGTGCAAGTAGAATATTCAAAGACTAACAGTGGTAAATATGTTTATTTTATATATTTTCTTACCTTGTCAAGCTCAAAATCCAATTTATCTGAATCAATCCGGTAGAAAAAATCCAAATCAGTTCAGGAACTGGGAAATATTCCATATCAGCCCGGAACGATTACACACCGTGTTATTGACATTCAAATATGTTAAATTTAACGAAAAATAAACAAATACCTTTCATGGCGCGGCCATTAGCGTTGACTCGATGTTGCAAAAAATAAATGTCACATGATCACCTACCATGAAATGCCAGTAAACATTTACTTTTAAACTTTGAAATTATTCTTATCTTTTCTTTACTCATAATCGATATTCAAAGATATTTAAATTTCAACATTTTGAATATTAAACCAATTATGAGACTTTGTAAAAACATAAATCTGGTTTCCTTACATGAATTCCAAGACGACCAAAGTTCTTTACTTTAAGAGTTGTTTCAGTCAATCTAGTTTTATTGCGAAAGTCGGATAAATTTATAAACTGAACAGCATTAGATTCAAAAAGAGAGTCTGTCCATGAAACTCCAGATGAAATACCCCATTCGACCGTATAGAAATAGTTTGTGTTTTTCGGTGGTTGAAAGTCACAATAGAATTGAAGCTCGTTAGACCCCAAAACTAATACGACATTCGCTTCAATATGAGGCAATACTTGTGAAATGTCTGGTGCCGTGTCATCTAATAAAATTGAGAATATAAAGAAATTTGATTAAAAAAGCACAATTATCTTAAGAGGGCTGTTTGAAATATATGTGTAACTTTATTATAGAATCTAAAAAAAAAATTTCTAAAATTTCAGCATGCAAGCAACACACACAAAATCATATATCAAAAGTCAACAAACTTTTTATATAAATTATTCCTGCGCAATGAAACTGATGTGAGCGAAAATCTTAACTTTAGTTATATTTACATATTTCTGTGTTACCGAGAAGTTCATAACTGGAAGAAAATTTAGAAAAGTTCATTTAAAATCAAACGGGGCTCGAATAGTTTATATATGTCACTACTTTCCTCTTAATAGGTATTCATAGTTAGAACATGTAAAACATATATAATAAGCACAGTGCTAAAAATAGGCTGTCGCAGGATTCATAGCATGCAAAATAATAAGCAAATTAAGTAAATATCAAACACACTTTTGACGCCTTTTCATTTATTACCAGGCATAATTGTAACAAAATATCAAGGGAGGTAACCGTAATGCATACTTGGAATACTGACATTGAAAGCATTTCTTTGTTAAACCCGGTGTTTGTTTCGAATATGTACACAATTACTATGTTTAATTGAGTGACTGTTCATATTTACATGATAAAATTCCACGATTCTTTGAAACAACTCTCTTATAATGACATATTAAAAATCATTCGAAAAAAATAGCTATTAAATTTAATGAAATACTTCTAAAATGAAAGTGAATCTTGAAATATCACCTGTTGTGGTTCCATTTGTGTTGTTCAATTTCTCTGAAAAATATTGAAATTGAGATTTTCAGATACAGATAAGATCAAATTGCAAAAAGATGGCAAATATCTAAGCTCCAAAGAAGACAAGAAATCTATTTCCATATAACCCACCCATACCGGGTATCATTGTGTATTGCATCAAGTTAATATAATGTGTGCATATTCAGCCTAATATTTTCTCCAGAAAAATATATCATCTCATTAACAAATTATGTTTTTAAAAATTTAATCATACATTTTCAGGGTCATTTATGGATTTTCAGCACACTTCCATTAGCGCCGGCGACTGAGAACATATTTTTTGTTTGGTTGTAATTAAGAAGCCAGCTGAGAAGAAATGAAGGTTGTAACTATTTTTTTCGAACAACACGGGATTTAGCATATGCAAATACCAATGCATCTTACGATCTAAAGATTTCATGAATTCAGTTTTAACGATTCGTGGCACATCCAAGGGGATTTGTGACGAATCATGGAAAATGCTATCCATGTCTACAGGGGCGGATACAGAACAGGGTTTTCTGGGGGGGGGAGCCGACATAGGGGTGGAAGATTTTGACATAAACAAAAGAAATAAAAATGCAACAGGAGAAAATTGTGCATGTTTAAAAATTGGGCCAGCATCTTGTTCATGTGACAAAAATTGCAATTGGTGTGTTTTATAGCTCATCTTATGAGTGGCAATGTACTTTTTCTAATATATGTGTATACTACTGTTTTTGTAAATATTTAGAGGAATATTAATACTGGAATTAAGAAAAATGTATGTGATTTGGGGGAAGCGGGGCTGGGAGGGGTGTCCCCTCCCATAGACTAAGAAATTTTTTGAAATATGAGGTTGAAAAAAGTGTTATTTCCTTGACTTTCTAGTGCTGTTTAATATGGTACCTTTAGGATGATTTAATTTCACGTTGTATTTTGTATAGGTAAGTGTTTGCAGGGTCTTTCAAATAGCATTCCCCTGGTGTTTAGTAGTAAGCATTTACAAAATAACAGCACACTTACCAATGTATGCGCGACCGTTGATAAAATTAATTTCAAACACTAGATCAATTTATTCATCTGAATAATAGACAATGTTCGTAAATAAATTGTTCTTAAAATACTGCTTTTCTATTGTACATTTTTTTTTCAAACACTTATATTCGATAAGAATTTTTTTCCTGCAATGAATCCATTAGAGATTATGACTCAAGAGGTCAGTACAATTTAAATTTTATTTAAACATGTAACTGCCATTAAAAGTTATTAAAAGCAAATGACCAATCATTTCATCTTGATAAAAATCTTAGTAAAACTAGTAATACAATCAATTATGCAGTTTAAACAGTTTAAACATTGAAGTGATTCAAGCATGTTGATAGATAAAGATCTCTGCCAAGCCCCAGGCAGGAGATTAACAACTGGATGACAGCAATAAATGTTTTGATAAGGGAGTACACTACAGCCAATAAAGTTTGAAACTGACAAAACTATATTCTAGCCAAGCTGGTAAACATATCTTTGGGCCTAACTGGTTGTGGGGGGGGGGTGCAGTCCTGAAGCCCGGGCCTGAATCCGCTACTGGTCTAAGTGTTTGTCATGTCATGATTCTTTTGTGAAATAATGCTCACTATTTTATCAAATATACTTTTCACAAGATACTGTATTTGAATTAACATACTCAATCAAGCTAAGCCTGCAAGGCATTCATCTTTGCCGCTTTGGACGTTTTTAAGGAATAATATTATCTATCATATGTTGCGGATGCGTCCCGAGGGAACCTCGTCCCAATGTGCTGGTTCCCGTGGGACCGGTATTCCGATCAAAAGTCAGATAATTTTTCTTGCATATTCTGCCATATTATTTCTTATCTACAATGGTTTACCTCAATAAGATATTTGTTCATGGAAAATAAAATTTTATGTCATTTCATCTCTAACTATTTTCTGACAATAGCGTTTGAGTTTACAACTTTAAAGATCCTGTATGTTGTGATCAAAGTGGTAAACCTGTATGTGTGTTCAAAGTTTAATAAGGTTAACCACACTAAGTGAAATTATATATATGTACATAATTATGCAAATACAACAATTTTCAACTATCGAAGGATATGTAAAGTATGTACTGCAAATATTTGTGCATATTATAAGTTATCATTAAAATATATGCATTCATTTCTTGTAAAGTTTGACTTAAACTTTATAGATTTTTGTTATTACCTCCCTTTATTTACATGAAATGTTAAATTCGGTAATATCTTTATAAATAATGCTTTTTGGAACCTACAATATTGATAAATTTTATTTGAGCATCATGTTTATGATTTAATACCATAAAAAATTGTGTGACAGGATCTTTAATAACAACGGTGATATGTCGTTATCCTGAGCACATAGTTCTATTCTAAAATGACGTCATTTTAACGCAGTTCATTTATAAAATGCCCGGAAATGACTTGTTGTATGGTACGCAACTCATCTGGCACTCAAATTCCAGATGGAATTTCCGGCATGAGTAAAACTCACGGAAACGCCAGCCTGCTATGCAAGAATGAGTTATCTTTATTTAATTGAAAAGGGAGATTTTTTTCTTCATCAGGATATGCTTTTTTCGTACATACCTATACATATATAAGCATTTGCAATGTAGACATACTAAGTTTTTTTCCAAACGATTGAAAGGTAGATTCTTATACACTTTCTTGTCTTAATAATAGAAAATCCATATGGTTGTCTTTACACATGTTGTGAACATTAAATAAAATAATTTTTTGTAACAAATTTCATATGTAAAAAAATGGAAGTAGATATTTATTTGCACGTATATACACATCTTATCTTTTGGTGTTTATGACACGTAATTGGTAACAGCATTAAAAAAAAGTAATTTAAAATTAAAAAGACATTTGATAGAAATATTTTAAACTACATTGAGCGCATTGAGGTGTTGTTTACCTGACGTCATTTAGTTTTTTGTCGTTATATCTGAAGTCATGTGACGTGTTAGCATTCCTTTTTTATGCTGTACATTTTAAAATAGTGTATAAATAAATATCTTTTAATATAAAATAACAAAATTTAGGATATTCTAAGGGGTAAAATCATTTTGCATTTTTGGCCGCCTTGCTATCCATAAATGGCGACAAAAGGAGTGCAAAATGATGTAATCAACGTTTATAGTAACTTTTAATATGGCTGCTGTCGTTGAAATTTCTTGTTCTCAAATCATTCTTGAAAGATTGAAAATACTTAGTGAAAGCTTATTTACATTGACGGAATATCATTTATAGAATACACAAGTGTAATTATATGATTTCCTTAGTCACTGATCGAAAGCTTATTATCACAATTCTAAAATCGAACTGTATACACTATAATGATAAGTTTAGGCAGGCGTCATGTTTTAAATTTTTCAAATTAAACCATTCATATACTTATTCTTTTGACGTAAAATCCACTTGATTTTCTATGTTTATATGCATGACGTTTTTCTATAAATAATCACTTATTTGTCCATGGGGCCGGGCGATTTGTTTGTTCTGGATTTGTTTTATATTTGTTTATACTATATGCATGTATCGCAAGTATCTATAATAATAAAAAAACATCTTCGTTTTCTCTTCTTTCTTCTGTTTGTTAAAAGAGGAAATGTCGGACTTGAATTTCAGACAAGGAATAAGCAATTAAATTCTGACATCAGTAAGTAACTCACCTATACAATACGCCTGAGAACACCCCGGAAGCGGCAAAAGTTTGAAGACATATTTTTCGTCGGAACATTTCATCACTTTTCCTGTTTCTTCCAGGCCACATTCTCCGTTGCCAATATTAAGACAATAATTCATATTGCTCTCTTTTCCAATTTTTTCCGGAAGAGCATCTAAAAATCATTTAGGATATAGTTTACTAGGAACCTTACATATTTAAAACACGGCCAGCATTCCATGTGCGAATCAATGATTTTACAAAATTGATTAAACACAATTAATTTACTTATATAATATTTCATACGTAATTATCTTACCCTTGCGGTACCAGTTTATATCACTGCCACATTTTCCATCCGTTGATGCTATAACATTGTCATACATCTTGTACCATCCTTTGTAGAAATAATGATCACATATAGGTTTTTCTCCATCTGCAAGTTCATAACCAACAACACGTTGTCTTAAAAAAGGGAGTTCACGAGTTTCGCTGCTAGTACATGGGTCAACAATATGCTGATGTGTGTTTCCTGGAAATGAAAATATTGAATACCGATTCTTAATATATTGTTACGCGACCTTCTAAAGCGCACATACTGTCTATTAAATAGTGTGGCTAGTGGTGTGTACATCCATGATCGCGGATGAGAAAATCATTGTCATGTATTCTCCGTATTTTATTTCAGTTACATTTATGCAAGAGAATGTTATTGAAGGCAAATTAGAAATCTTTTATTATAAATGTGATTGATTTGTTTATTTTCTTACTTACTTAGAAAACAAATTTTAAACACAGTACACAGCTAGCACAGTAATCTTTTTACCGGGAGTCTGACACAGAAAGCTGCTTTATTTTCTTATTAAAGACCCTCTTATTTATTTGACATTTTAAAGTTAAATTACATGCTATTATAATCAAATCGACCGGAGAAACAAATACCGATGCTTAAGAGAAGTTCGAAGGTTATATGCATGTAACACCTAGCAATGACGGTTTCAAGCTTTCTATTCATAAACATACAGCACTTTTCCTTGGTAGGTTTCCGCAGATCGGTTAAAAGGAATATGCTTCACTCTGTCATCTCAAACAGCGGATATCTGACGAGATATGATCTTTCCAGGCTCCTCATCATTTTACTGATAGAAACCCGTTTGGAGTATTGACTTTTTATATTGACTAATCAGGCTTACTTAGCCACTAGTCATTCTTGCAAATCAGTGTTATAATTGAATAACAATTCTTTACAGACTACATTATAAATTAAAACATTATGACATGGTATATTACAGGTTTAATATCTCGCAGATATGCTTAAGCAAAGACAAATTGACTTTTGTGGATTATCTGAACATTGGCTGTTACCTGATAATGTCCACGTTCTAGATAGTATTGAGAAAGACTATAATTTCCATGCTTTGTGTGAAAAATAATTATTTATCCAGACCTCGATCAGCTAATAATGGCGTTGCCCTTTTGTGACATAAGCGTAATATTGTAACGCCATTAAACACTGACGATGTATTCAATTACAAGTTGGGTTGAACCAGTATATGTATATATTTCAAATATACCTACAATGTACTTATCGTTCACTGAACTCTTTTGTAAATTACATTAATAAACTTTAAGATTTGTATTACATGTATTCATGATATGGTATGTCTATGTTTATTGGTGACTAGAGAATAGAAAAGCTTAACATCTCGTCATAAAATTATGCTTTTAACATATTTAACTTGATAGCTGTGAATATGTTACCAACATGTTTGTTATGGCGGTACATGTTCATATGTTTCTTATGATGATCGTTTTTCAACTCTATTTGTTTACCCATTGATCTGACCGTCTTTCTGAAAGAAAGAGGGCCGGCCTCAATAGAAGATTGCAGAGCAGTACATAGAAGCGCATAAAGGGGCGCCTTCCGATTTTTGCCAGAGGTACAATTATTCTAAATCAAGGGCAGCTAGGCAAAATATTTATACCTCATACAGACATCAGGCAAACCTACAGAGAATAGACATTCGCCAATCAATTATGAAAAACAAGATCAACAAGGAAAGGCGGCGTTCAATGAACGCAACCCCCATATGACCCAGCAACAAGAACCAATGGCAAGGAGCCCAGGTGGACCCCAAACATAAAAAGGACAGGGCAACGACACGTTAATCAATAAATGATAAATAATTTGTAACTGATTAGGAATTCAAAGAAAATAATAATAGGCCCACAAAGGGGAAGGGGACAGGAGACCGGGGAAGGGGGGGGGGGCGTTAATCAAAGAAATAAAAACTAGAGGCAATGGGGAAGATACTTACCGTAGACGAGAAAACAACAAGGGACACAAGCAAAAGTGTCACCAAAACAGTATGAAACAACATAGACATACATCTGAGGAACACAGTGGGGCGCCGCCTTGGAACGGTCAGCAGCATTATAATGACTGCTGGGAGTTTAAACCGGTTAATGGTGCACCAACCTCGCTCTTAGCCCCACCATGTTCCTATAAACGAGACAGTGTAAATAAAATGAATCCCCGCCAAGTGAAATTCTAGCAGTTGTCATGGTTACAAAAGGTTAAATAAGTAAAACACTAAAATGATCATGTAGAAACATATAAAAGTAAACCCAATGACCATAACAAAAGTACTCAATGTCCTAAAGGAAGACAGAGCAACAAGAAAATCACCTACAAGGGCCCGACGAAGCAAGGCAGAAGACGAACATTAAGACAATTCAGTCCCAAAGGGCTTTACGAACTATCCATCATAGAGTCTCCCACTTGGTCCGTCAGATGCAATCAAAAGAGGAAAGCGTAGTGTCCAACTGTAAAAGGGTTGAACACTAAACATGCAGTATGTCTTAAAATAGTAGGGTCATAACCTCTTTTAATAAAACGTTTAATGATTTTAGTAAAAACAGCAGAAAAATTACCATGACCCAAAATCTTACGAAGTTTGTAAACCACATCGCCATAAAAACCAGGCTGGCTAATCCCTTGTCGCAGAAGAGTTTTTAAATCACTATTAAATTTAGAAATTAAATCAAAGTTACGATTGTAAAATTTAGTAAAATATTTCCGTAATTTATGATAGCGGTAGCCCTGTTTTAGAAGCTTGCTGGTAATAAAAATATTCCGCTCGTTGAAATCCTTTACGTTGTTACAAGCTCTAGCGAATCTAATTAACTGAGAAACATAAACCCCGTAGGATGTTGCATGGGGTACGTCTCCAAGACATGTTTTATTTGTAATAAGGCAGGCAATTTTGCAATAGAAGCCAGGCACCGAAGGTGTGCTTTATTTGCAATAAGATGGGGCATATTGCAAAAAAGTAGGCAAACAATGTCAGAAGATGTAAGAAGTGACCACAAGGTAGCGGGCGTAGCAGACCTTAATGCTTTATAGAAGAAGACTGAAGATGGAAAATTGTGAGTAGAGAAACTGTGCCAATCCTCGCGGGAGCTTGTACCATTAATTTAGTGAAAGAAGAAAGAAACCTAAAATTAAAGAAGAGTTTTGTCAGTTAAAATGTTTAGAGAAACTGGATGGGAGTTAGCGGCTCCGAAGAAGAAGTATGTAAAAGAAGAACAAATATAGACAAAAAGGAATCCCTTAAGAAAGCCCAAAACAACTCACAACTCAAGGGTAAAGAAATTGTCATGATTACACTTGATGAAAATGCTAAAGTCGTACCTTGGCGAAAATATGGGTAGATATGCCGTACTATGTTTGGGAGTTAGAGGCAATGGTGCTGAAGTCATTGATATGCGACTTAGTGATCGATAACGTTGCCGGAGTACTTGATAGGCCTGATCCTGAATGGAAGGAGACAGAAGAATCATCACCTGTTGCAGCAGTCATGACGAGAGAACAGCGTGAGAGAGCAAACCGTTCAACAATTACTTTGACCGTTCCAAAACCTTCCTGCGAAACTGAAGTTGACATAGAGAAATTGAAATAATACCAGAAAGATGATTGCTCATTGAAAAAGGCTTGGGACTTAGCAGAGAAGACAGAAACTGTGAAAACCAAAGGAGGGGCCAAATTGAAATACGTAGTAGAAAATGGTGTGCTTTTTAGAGCCTACTTTCAGCAAAATTGTGATGACTTCAAGAAGAGTATCGTTCCTTCGGATTTTAGGAAGAGAGTGATGGAACTTGCCCCTGAATCCATTGTTGGTGGAAATATGTCATCCTAGAAGACAGAATTCTGACAAGTTCTCATTCGCCAGGAATAACGGGATATGTTGGACGTTTTTGCAGATTGTGTAATGTGTGCCAGAAGACCACCCCAAAAGGGGGAGTGAAGAATGATCCCCTAAGAAACATGTCGGTGATTGAGGAACCTTTTCATCGTGTAGCAATTGACTTGATAGGACCGATTATACCGATGTCGGAGAGGGGCTATAGATATATCTTGACAGTTGTAGATTACGCCACATGTTACCCTGAAGCCCTGCCATTATCAAGAATAGATACTGGGAGAATTGCAGAAGCACTGCTTGAAATATATTCGAGAGTAGGCTTTCTATCAAAAGTTGTAAGTGACAGAGGTTTTCAATTTACAGCTAATTGAAAGAGATATGTCGGCTCATATCTATGATGCAACTCTTCACAACAACATACAACCAAAAGTCAAACGGCTTCTGCGGGCAGATGAATGGAGTGCTAAAAAACATGCTACAGAAGATGTCCTAGGAAAGACCGAATGACTTGGATAGATACATACCGGCCGTATTATTCGCATATTGAGAAGTACCACAGGCGAGTACAGGATTTTCTCCCTTTTGTGTTGCTGTATTTTCATATTTTTTTGTCCAGGCCATTTCTCCTAAAGTATGAAAGCTATGGTCTTTAAACTTCATAGGCTGATAGATCTCATTAAGAAAAAGTGAAATGTACAAGAACCAGTACTCTGCACTTCTTATTTTTGAGTTATTACCCGTTATTAATTCATATACTTTAATTTTGTCCAGGCCATTTCTCATAAATTATAAAAGCTATAGACTTGAAACTTCATAGGATGATAGATCTTATTGATAAAAAGGGCAGTGCATAGAAACTGCTGCTCTGCACTTCTTATTTTTTGAGTTATTGCCCTTTGTTAATTTTCATATTTCATTTTTGTCCTGGCCATTTCTCCTAAACTATATAATAATTGTTCACAAGGCGACACATCCGACTCGCGGAGTTCTAGTTTAAAGGATTTAAAGGATCTTGTCAAAGTGATTAATAAATTTGATAACAGGATCAAATTGGTGACAAGTTGAAGACGTTCTACATCAAAAGAAGCCGAAAATGAGCGTTAAGAAAAGGTTACGGCAAGTGTTGCGATGATAGAAGATGTTGAAAACTATTCAGATGGAGAGGAAGATTATAAAAGTCTCCTTGACATCGTAACTTCACAAATGAGAGACATAAGTGTAAATAGAGGAATATCAGAGAAGAATCTTTGCAATCTAATTAATGATGTTTACAATATACAGACAGCCGAGGTGGAGACTATCCATATGCAACAAAGTCAAGATAGAA